TAGGATGCATTTTTTTTTTTTTCTGGGTAGAGATGCCATATTGTACAGGATACACTGAAGGGGGCATGGTTAGAGCAGCTCCATTGCACAGGGTCCATGGGCAGAGCAGCTCCATTGCACAGGGTCCATGGGCAGAGCAGCTCCATTGCACAGGGTCCATTGACCGAGGCAGGGGTAGAGCAGCCATTTTGCACAGGGTACAATGACCGAGGCCAGGATTGGCTGGGTCAGAGCACATATCATTCACACATAGGAAGTAGTCTCTAGAAGTGTAGTAATTCTTCTTTAACACGTAGGAGACACTTGTAAATTGCAGTGAGAGGCACTTCTTTTGTGATGTAACTGATTATTCTTTTCTTTCTTAGGTCTGGTCATGAGATACAACAGGATGATACAGAAACCACCCGAGTTTGTACACATTGCTTTCTATGACTAGAAAAGACAAGCTCGTGTTCCGGCCGAGGGTCTGCATCATGCCTGGAAATATCCAAGGAGCCTTCGGCCGACCTAAATCATCAGAACTGTTAAAATAAATGTATTCAACATAACCGTAAAGATTGCCTAGTATCAGAGTATATATTTCTATCCGTTTCTTTGGTGCTCTCAGGTGCATAATGCACATTTGTAATCTTTTCCAGCTATTGGTGAGCTGGAAGCTACATTTGTAATCTTGATGGAGGCACTTTTATTTAAATGTGGGTGTTTGTAGAAAGTACAAACTTGGGCAGGATTGTTTGATGCATTTTGTGTTCTGCAGTATTACATCATTTTGCAATGACTGTCAATAATCCAATAAAATGTGTGTTGGTTTTGAATGAGTTGAAGGATTTTTTTGTATCGTGCACAATTTGTAGAAGTTGTTGCTTAAACATTGATCTTCAGTGATGAAATGGATGTGGTAAATGTTGCCTACATAACCAAGCGGTAAGATGCAGGCTCTGAAGTTCAGTAGACAGTCTGAGCTGTAGATGGGATTTTTTTTATGTTCCATTCTTTCACCTGCAGGCTATACTGCCACTACAGGAGGACTGGACACAAGTAAACCCATCCCAGGATTGGGCAGTACTGAGCACATGATCAGAACACAGAGGGCTGGGACTCTGGGCTGTGTACATTATTCAACACCAAAGAAAGATTTTCTGGTGAGTACAAAAATCCCATTTTTCTTTCTCATCCCGAGAGGATCACAGGAAATCTTTTGCCTTTAGGTTGCCCATAAACAGTCATATTGAGGGGCGGCCATCACGGCAAACAACTGCTAACCGCCCCAAGTAAACAGAGGACTGCCTGGAGATAGAGGAAGGTCTCGAATGGTGTTTTCTGAAGTGCAGAGAGAACCAGATTCAGATGTGTGCTCCTGTCAGCAGCATCCTTGTTGCCAAGAGCTTGTCCAAAGACACTGCACTTCAAAAGCCATGTGGATCAAATCCTTTTTACACAAGCGTATGCATGCTTTAGGAGTGCCGAAGGAATCCAAACTGACCTGTTCAGTGTATGCTGTGGTCTTTGAGGGTGCTGCTATAGGAGCTTCAATGCCAACCATTGAGCTCTATTATGGACTTTTAATGAATAATTATTACATAACCGTGGTAAGAGCTGAGGAGGTTTGGACTAGAAAAAACAAACTTTGCACTTGTAATCGAACAGAAGCCCAATGTTTGCACGTGAAGGCCCCATTCACACCAGATCGGTCTTTCAGTGGATGCCAATGGAAAGTAACCCAAAATATGAATTATTATAATTACATAGTATTTATATAGCGCCAACAGTTTGCGCAGCGCTTTACAATATAATGGGAGCAGTTCACACCTCTGTTCTGTTGCGCTGAAGAAAAAAAACAAAAACCATGCACTACTTTATTATTCAATGTAAAGCAACAGCAGTGTGAACTGGTCTCTTGTATTCGCATCCATTGAAGATTGCAAGTCAACAGACCTTCATTAACCTACAATTGCCTTCTGAATTTGGTGTGCACGGGTCCGAAAGCTTTGCTGCAATAATGGGGTGAGCACAACACTAGAACAAATGGTCATCACTCCTCCCCCATACAACCTTAATGACCCACCATGTTCTAGAAAATGTAAACAATACTTGCTCTATGGTTCAGAAAAGTACAGGGTTTATTACAATTCCGAGTGCGATTTCAGTATATTACAATTGTGTACAATTCTTCACAGAAGAAAATAAGACATTTGCTAAGGCAATGCTCGGTACTGGACTTTCCAATGATACAGAACTTGGAACACGGGATAAAGACTCTGCTACCTGTCAGTAACTGATAGTACAAACATTACAATTCATCTCTTAGGCAGCAGAGTACGGGTGAAGGGAGGAGATAACAATTCATATTTATTGCCAATGACACGATAACACTGACCATCAGGCAAGCTGCTAAAAATACCAATAAAATATTGTTTTACCTGCTAAAGGATCTACAATTTATAGCCATTCATGAGATTATCAGCCCGGTCTGATCCTTCTTTACTGCAGTTTCACTTTGACTTACACCCACCTCCCAGCCTGTTATTGGACAGTGAAAACAGAAGCCGCACCTGATTGGCTCCATGCACTGCTTCTCCATCTGATATGTGCCTGGAGTTCAGCTATAAATGATTAGCCCGATGTGGCATCTGGTAGCCAGTAGGGGACATTTAGAGCCCAACTTCAGCCAAAACATTTCATTTTAGATAGATCAGGGGATGGGATCGAACGGTTCTGTTATTGCAGTCTGTGTCCCCACAGGACAGATTTTCTTTCATTGCCTGTCCCAGTGATTGGGAAGGACAGGGACTGATGGGGACAAAACACACATTTTGTAATACAGTGGGGGAAGCTTAAAACATTAAGGTTTTTTTTTTTTTTTTGTGCCTCCCTGTGTCAGTGGATTCTATTTCCCTAATTTCCTGCCTTAGTGTCACAGCCACACAGTGAAAGGGAAACTACCCAATGGAGTCACAGAAAGCAATATGAAATACCTGGTAACGTTTCTAACCCTTCCCTGCTTTATTCAAAACTAAACCCCAATTCTGGCTGCACTTGGGCTGGAAAGTTGTATGGTGATAGAACTGTGACTGCTGAAGCTTTGCATGATATGCCTTAGGACAGTGGTGGCGAACCTTGGCACTCCAGCTGTGCCAAAACTACAATTCCCAACCTGCATCTGCCTCTGGGAGTAATGTCTGTGGCTGTCAAGAGCCTTGCAATGCCTCATGGGACTTGTAGTTCCAAAACAGCTGGAGTGCCAAGGTTTGCCACCACTGCCTTAGGAGACTACATAGGGGGAAGATTTAGAAGTGAACATATATAGATGGATCATAGCTGTGATAATAGTCTTCCATCAATTCACAAAGAAGGGAGTTTCCAGGCCAAACACATTCAATGTTTGTAGAACGTAAAAAGCTATTTACTTGTCTGTTTCCTGCATATAAAGCCAGGTGTGAGAAAATGTGTAATACAGCCTACCTATGACAGTAAGCAAACTCTCACTAGGACAGGGGTGGACAACTCCAGACCTCCAGCTGTGCTTTAACTACAAATCTCATCGTGGCTGTAAGAGTCTTGCAAAGCTTCATGGGATTTGTAGTTCCACAACAGCTAGAGGGCCAAAGTTGCCCACTCCTGCTCTAAGACAACTGCCTTCTGTGGACGCCAGACCCCCCATCTAACCATTGCACACAATGCAGTCCCATACTTATGTGAACGATCTCCCAGCAATTAGGAAGTCACTCTAAGCTGAAGTGAATCCAGAAGCTGAAACAATTCTATACACATCAAGTCACACTACCTGATTGTATGGCAATTCACAGGAAAATGTTGACTTTGTCCTGCTCTGTGTTTAGGATCATTCAGTCTGCTCCTATAGTATAATAGTGGTGATAAATAAGTATGTAATACAACATGAGGTGTATCATTCAATTCACTTACACACAGTCAGAGCACATACAGGGCTCAATAGTCCTGCAATACTCTGTGGACTACGCACCCCTCTACTGCTTATGGTGGGGAAACAACAGAGCCTGGCTGCTTCTCCACAGCACAGGTTGCCTGCGTCTGTTCTACATCATGAATGCGTAAAGATGGTAAAAGGGCACTTCAGGCCTCACACCTCAGAACCGTGCGCTAGGACTCCCCCCATTCCTGCTATAGCAGGAGATATGGTCACACTAGGTAATTGATATTGTGTATATATTAGAACACATCTGCAGACATAGATATATTATTATACAGGACAGATTAGTGATGAAGGTTTCTTCTGAATAAACTGGACAGGTTTGCTTTGGGGGAAAAAAAAAAGTGTTAGAATGACTCAGTTGTGTTGCCACTAAATCTAAACTAAAAACCAGAGAGGCACCGATCCTGGTTTTTCGGTATCGAGTACCAATATTTTGCTTCAGGGTAATGACATGCTGCCCGGCATCTGGATTGCCCGGGAAGCCGGCCCCATGTAGTTTGGCCAGCTTGATAGTGATTGGCTGTGAAGCCAATCAGTATCGAGCTGGCTTCCCGGCCAATCAGGAAGCCGGGCGGCAAGTTATAACCTGCCTCCCTAATTGGCCGATTAACTGGTTGCATGCTGATTGACTAGAAAGCCGGTTTCCCAGCCAATCAGCACGGAGTCGGCTTCCAGGCAAATCAGGAAGCCGGGTGGCGGGTTGTCATTACTGGCTGCCCACCTTCCTGCTTGCATGGGAAGCTGGCTCCATGTTCCCCTACGGCACTGCCGCTCAGAGGAAATCTTGCTCTGACCAGAAGTTCCGTGTCCGGAAAGGTATCGGAGCATTCCAACTCGGGTTGATTCTTCACATGATAACACTAAGGACCTTAAAGAGGAACTTTTATCTTCGACATGACAAGCACACCTTTAGAAATGTTTAGTAATGACAATCTACAAACAGATACTGACAGATAATTGTCGGCTTTGCATTCCTTATTTCTCTTTTCCTCCCCATTCTTCTGACAGTGGCCATTGTAACTAAGGGCAGATTACTAGATCTCCTTTTACTTTCTGGATTACTGGCACATGTGACCATGCACATCATCCCAGGGAAGGAAAATGCCTGTCGCTGAGATCTCATGAGATTTCCCAGCAATGCTCTGCTGATGTCATCTTCCCAGGATGCAACACTTCGGCACAGATTACATCACTGATGCCAAGTAAAAAAAAGAAATATGTTTGTTTAAGTAATGAATGGAAGATGATTTCATATCAGCAAGCAGAGCTGCATGCTGAGGTGATTTTTAGTGAAAGGGGGGGGGGGGAAGGTCTGCTTAGAGGATATGGGGATGTACTGCATAGGCGCAGAAGAGATGCCAGGAGAAGAAGACGCCTGCCACTGGATGTAAACAATCAGCACAGGCCGGGCCTGTTGGAACTCAGTAAGTAGTCACCCATGTACAGGGAAGGAAGGAAGGACGGAGCGGTGACATCACCTTAAAAGGGGCCTAAAGGATAAGTTAGTGTCTTCTGAAAAGTGCACTTATCCTTGAAGTCTGCCTGCCAAATGCTGACCCAGCTCCATTGGCAAACTATATGCTGCAGTTTATATATAAACATTTAAATAAAATTGAGATTCACTGTGTGCTCTTGACCCAGGAAGGGACCTTCTTTGCTTTAGGTTTGTTATCATTCTGGAAATTCTCTGCGTATCTCTCTCGTGCTTTCTCCCAATTCTTCTTGTTGTGTGATGGGTTCTGCCTGTCTTCAATGGAGGTAGGGTTGTGTGTCCCCAGACCGGCCTGCTTCTTATGTAACTGGAGTTGAATCTGGTATAGTAGAGAGTATCACCAGGTCAGTAAACAGCTGAAGTATGACAGAACGTTCCAGGAGTGGTCAGCAAAGCCACCACAGCATAATGTATTTCATCAAAAGACAATATGCAGCCATAAGCCCTAAGAACTCCAATTAAGTGGAAGCTAGTATAGTTGAAACCCGCCGGTAAACAATCGCTTTTTTTAAAAATTCTAACCCAGTTTGGCCAAACCTTCTCAAACTGTGACTGACACACCACCCTTCCTGTTCCAATCAGTTGTGGCAGGGTGGGGGAAGGGGAGGGGATCGGTCGGGCATCCAGAACGGGGTGTTAGCTTGGTAAGTCACGGTTCAGAGCTTCGATGCTCACAGTATTGAGTGTGCTTGGACAAACTCCAGTATCGGCGAGTACAGAAATATGAATAATCGGTACTGGTAGTCAATACCGGTAAAACGGTATCGGTGTGTGTAAAAAAAAAAAAATTCAAGTATAGCTTTGATATATTTTTGGAGATGGGACTGAACTATCTATAGAAATGAATCATTACCACTAACCATCTATGGATAAAACCTCTGCAGCTTCATAAAAACCTACTACTGCCTGGTTCTACTTACAATGTAGTGTCAGTATGATTCATTGTGACAATATTATAAATCAAGAGTACAGAGAGAAACATAACAGCTTACCGGATCTCTCATGCCATCACCAGTCTTGCCCAGCCCTTCACCTTTTTTCCATCCCATCTTCTCAAGCATCTTCCTTCCTTTATTACTGTCATTGATTTCCCTGCATAAAAGAAACACAAATGTCACTTTATAGTCACTGTTACTTTAACATAACGCACTTACTTTCACTTCCAGACATATTTAGGTTTCATGCCCTGCACAACTGGGCTCTCTGCTAAGATCTGAATAACAGTGGGGAATGTACTGCCCAGGTTTCAGCAGCTCCTGGTGTAAGTTAACTTAGAATTTATAGAATTAAAGTAGAATTCTCACTGATTGCTCTTCTTTTCCCACCGTTTATAGACAGTCTATGGCCAAACGTCTGTGGGAGTTTGGCCATGACAACTATATGAAATTGTTGGCTGTTCCATTTCAAAACCATAGGCATTAAGATGGAGTCCCGGTCATAACAACCTTCATTCTTCTGGGAAGGGTTTTCCACAAAATTTTGGAATGTATTACTGGGAATTTGTGCCCACTCAGTCAAAAGCCCATTTATGAGGTCAGATATTGGTGTTGAATAAAAGACCTGGCTCACAATTGCTGTTCCAATTAAACCAAAGGTTTGTTCAGTAGGGTTGAGGTCAGGGCTCATGTTCCTCCACACCAAACTCATTAGACCATGTCTTTAAGGACCTGGCTATGTGCACAGTTGTCCTGGGACAGGAAAGGGCCTTCGCCAAATGGCCACAAGGTTGGAAGCATGCCCATATCTATAATATCTTTGTATGCTGTATCATTAACAGTATCCCTCACTGCAAACATCTGACCTCATTTATTTGATGGGGTGTCCACATAGTTTTGGCCATATAATGTATGAACCTCAGTTTATTACATTTTTTGAATTGTTGTACCTTAGATAGCCTTGCAGCAGTATAAACCCATGGATAAAACAACAACAAACCACAACGGAATTATGAGCCCACACTAGTGGATTTGATATTCCATAATGAAGCTTACACATGTACAGATGCTGAAGCGTCATCTCTCTGGAAGGTTCCTTCACTTCCCACCACATTGCGCCGTCTGCTTGCTCTGTCTTTGTACTTGGGATTCTTAAGAACTTTGTTGTCTTCATAGCCCACACCCTAATAAGAGAAAAAAGGTGCAAACTACCATCAGCGTATACATCAAGAACAGGCACCTTTATCTAAGAAAATGTGTTCTGTGCTTTCACATCTTCTGCTGCTCAGAGATACAAATAATACTGTTGAGAGCGTGATTTCATGTACACTTGTGCTCAAAAGTTTGCATACCCTGGCAGAAATTGTGACATTTTGGCATTGATATTGGAAATATGACTGATCATGCCAAAAAACTGTCTTTTATTTAAGGATAGTGATCATATGAAGCCATTTATTATCACAGTTGTTTGGCTTCTTTTTAAATCATAATGATAACAGAAATCACCCAAATGCCCCTGATCTAAAGTTTACATACCCTGGAATGTTTGGCCTTGTTACAGACACAAAAAGGTGACACACACACGAGTTAAAATGGCAATTAAAGGATAATTTTTCCACATCTGTGGCTATTTAAATTGCAATTAGTGTCTGTGTATAAATAGTCAGTGAGGTTGTTAGCTCTCACGTGGATGCACTGAGCCGGCTAGATACTGAGCTATGGGGAGGAGAAAAGAACTGTCAAAAGACCTGTGTAACAAGGTAATGGAACTTTATAAAGATGGAAAAGGATGTAAAAAGATATCCAAAGCCTTGAAAATGCCAATCAGTATTGTTCAATCACTTATTAAGACGTGGAAAATTCGGGGATCTCTTGATACCAACCAAGGTCAGGTAGACCAAGAAAGATTGCAGCCAAACTGCCAGAAGAATTGTGTGGGATACAAAAAAAAAACCCCAGGTAACCTCAGGGGAAATGCAGGCTGCTCTGGAAAAAGACGGTGTGGTTGTTTCAAGGAGCACAATACGATGATACTTGAACAAAAATTAGCAGCCTGGTCGAGTTGCCAGAAAGAAGCCTTTACTGCGCCAATGCCACAAAAAAGCCCGGTTACAATATGCCTGACAACACCTTGACACGCCTCACAGCTTCTGGCACACTGTAATTTGGAGTGACAAGACCAAAATAGAGCTTTATGGTCACAGCCATGTTTGAAGAGGGATCAAGAAGGCCTATAGCGACAAGCATACCATCCCCATTGTGAAGCATGGTGGTGGCTCACATGTCTTGGGGGGGGGGGGGGTGAACTCTAAAGGCACCGGGAATCTTGTCAAAATTGATGGCAAGATGAATGCAGCATGTTATCAGAAAATGCTGGCAGACAATTTGCATTCTTCTGCAAGAAAGCTGCACATGTGACGCTCTTGGACTTTCCAGCACGACAATAACCCAAAGCACAAGGCCAAGTTGTCCCTCCATTGGTTACAGCAGAAAAAGGTGAAGGTTCTGGAGTGGCCATCACAGTCTCCTGACCTCAATATCATCTACCCAATCTGGGGAGATCTCAAACGTGCGTTTCATGCAAGACGACCAGAGACTTTGCATGACCATTTTGCCAAGATAAATGGGCAGCTATACCACCTGCAGGAATTCGGGGCCTCATAGACAACTGTTACAAAAGACTGCAGAACACGGTCATTGATGCTAAAGGGTACAATACACAGTATTAAGAACTAAGGGCATGCAGACTTTTGAACACGGGTCATTTCATGTTTTTATTTGTTGCCATGTTTTGTTCTCCTTTATTTCCGTTATAGTAAAATTCTGGATTTCCCATCACTTTCCGTCCAGTGACAATGGTCACCAGGGCAAACAGAGAGGGGTACTTCCCCTTAAGTGGGAAAGAGACAGCAATAAAAACCTGGCAGGGGTTCAACATTTTTACACTCTATTCAAATTGAAAAAATATACAAGTTTTGGCTTTAGATATTTTTTACATTTGATAATAATTTGACAGCCCCCTACCTGCAATCCGTACTTCTCTCTGATTTGTTTAAGTCCACGTCGTCTCAGCTCTTCCTTTCCTTCTTTACTGATGACAGGGCCAACTGTACATGAAAGAAAAGTCAAACACAGAACTGCTGATCCCTTCACAGAGGACGATGTCACTTCTGAACTGTGTACATAGAATGGATAGCGATAGGGAGTGCCTTCTGCAGATTCATTTTGTAGAACCTTGGCAGGCATCATTGTACATTGTAAAATAATTGTAACCTTCAGCCTCATAATCAGATCAATAGTAAAAGCTGATAAAAGCTAACACAGAAATAAGAAAAATACAGATGGGCCTGCACTATTTAAAACGGTGCACAAGATCTGCATGCTTTCTATTAATTAAGCCCGTTGAAATGCTCAAAGCAGGACAAAATGACAATACATCATTAAATGTCTTTTTTAAAGTAAAGCAGTGTAAGGAACTAAACTGACTTGATATTAGCCTCTTGGAGTCTACTTTACAGCAAAGCTCAGAGGAGAAAAGCAGAACGAGGAGCAAGCCATCTGTTCTGCAGTGCAAGGATCATGCTGACAGAAGGAGAAATGTGAGGTGTTGGAGGTGGTATGGTTTCTATTGTTTAAGCTACAACCAGGTAAAGTAAATATTGGGGCTAGTTTGAGTGATGACTCTTTTTATTCTGTAGAAAAGGGATTAGAGTGAAGAAGAGAAAGGTCTCCTTTTCACTATCTAGTCATAGTGTGGGGTTGGGGAGAAGACCTGTAAGTGAAAATAAAACTGCAGCAGAGAAAGTTTAGGTTGCTTCCTAGACGGGGCTATGTACTGTAGTGTGGCAGAGCTGTGTAAATATCAGTACTAAATAGGCACAAATACAAATCCTTTGGCAGATAAAACAGCTCCCATATATGCAGTTCATCTTTATTTTAGTTGTCTGCCTGGGGTTCAGATTTAAAAGTCTGATTATTATAACAGTTTAAAACCCAATCAGTAAAATTATAAATATGCTGTAAAATGTTAATGTTATTCCAGTAGTTGATTATATTATAATCCTTTAAATATGCAGCTTTCACGAAAATATTACCCGTTAAGGTCCTTGTTACTGCTCAAGTATACTAAACATCATCTAGTTCAGATCTAGTTTTCTAAAACTAGTAAGTTTTAATTAAAGTGACACTAAACTCAGGATCTAAATGTTAAAAATACATTGAAGTACCTTAACTATTAACAGAAATGTATCTTATTTGTGTATCACTCATCTGTAGATCCTCAAATCGTCTCTGAATTGGTGCTGACACTGTCCTTCCTTCTGGAGGATGGCTACTTTTGTTCTCTATGGTCCCTGTGTGTGTTGTAAAGTAGCCACCGCTCCAAGCTCACTGCCGAGATGGACTTCAACCTCAGTACAAATTAAAGGCGAGATTGTAGTCCATCATGGGAGAGAGCTTGGAGCCGTGACTACTTTACAACACAAGCAAAACAATTGTGCTCCAAGATGGAGACTCTCATAGTTTAGAGTTAGGACCGCACTATAAGAGGTGCCTTGGCGCGGCAGTGAAGCTTTCACATCCTCGGCTGAAGACGTGTATCCAAACCTCTGTTATTATCCTTAGTGGTGAGACATGTTGTTTTACATGCTGGTTTGTGAGTGTGCCATGATGCCTTTCTACTGTTTTACTTTACAACACACAGGGACCATAGAGAACAAAAGTAGCCCCCCTCCAGAAGGAAGGACAGTGTCAGCTCCAATTCAGAGACGATTTCAGGATCTACAGCTGCGTGATACACAAATAAGATACATTTCTGTTAATAGTTAAGGTACTTGAATGTATTTTTAACATATAACTCCTTAGTTTAGGGTCACCTTAACCTTGAAAGGGAACTAGCAGGAATCACTGATTGAAGGATTCAAAACTAGAACTGGGATGTCCTTCTTTTCACCAGGAGACTGCCTGCTGTTACTTCCAGAACCAAATTCAGTCAGCTGACATTGTGCCATGTGCGTTTCTCCACCAATAAAAGGCTTTTCTACTTTACCAAAAATGTGAAAAATCCCTACAACAAAGAAACACCTTACCTGAGCCCTCTTCTTTCTGATTTAGACGGAGATGTGCCCTGACTTGCCCAGGCTCACATCCATCACAGGTTTCACTGCCAGGGTGCACATGGAAGGACAGGACAGTCTCCCCAAATTTAACCTCATCTCCATGATGTAGCACGTAGGGTTCACACACTGTTTTAGGCTGTAACACGGAAGGAAGAAGATTTTAATGAACATTTTGCACAGCAAGCATGCAGGATGCAACAAGGAATCAGCCTTTTTCCGACATTTGTTTTTAAAAAGCCTACATTTTTTAAAAGAAAAGTTTAAAAGGAGAAAGGCAACGAGTTATAGGATTGAGGTAGTAATAAATATATAGCCATGTAGAGTCATGGCAGTTATTACAATGTTGGGCAGTGTCATTTAATTTGAGAACTTTAACAGTACTTTTTAAGTTTAGCCCTACAATACATTAGAATAGGTTTTACATTCAGGCTATTTACACATGCATGTGGTAGGGAACTTAACATCATACAATCTTAATGTTGAAATCAGAGAGGAGTACTGCATTAAGACTATAATACACACACACACTATGTGATCATAACATTATGCCAATATACCTACTAAGCAATCACGGAATAAAAAAAAACTAAAAAGGTTTATGGTGATTATTATTTTAGACAATTTCTTATTTTAACCATCTATATACGACCATTGCTTTATTAACTACATCCCGGCCGGCCGTTGTGTATAAACGGCCGGCCGGGAGCTTCCTGGATTATTTAATTTGAGAACTTTAACAGTACTTTTTAAGTTTAGCCCTACAATACATTAGAATAGGTTTTACATTCAGGCTATTTACACATGCATGTGGTAGGGAACTTAACATCATACAATCTTAATGTTGAAATCAGAGAGGAGTACTGCATTAAGACTATAATACACACACACACTATGTGATCATAACATTATGCCAATATACCTACTAAGCAATCACGGAATAAAAAAAAACTAAAAAGGTTTATGGTGATTATTATTTTAGACAATTTCTTATTTTAACCATCTATATACGACCATTGCTTTATTAACTACATCCCGGCCGGCCGTTGTGTATAAACGGCCGGCCGGGAGCTTCCTGGATGTAACAGGCCGTGTATACACGGCCCGTTAGTCCCGCCCACTCGTGCGTGGTCTAAACACCTGGTCAGCAAGTGGTTAAAAAATAAATAAAAACACACACTAAAAACATTAACTTCAGATCCGTTCGCTGACCTCCCCTCCGGTAAATGAACCCAGAAGCAACAGCGATGTTGTCACTTCGGGGTACAGAGTTGTCATTCCCTGCATCTGCGCGTGATCAGTTTTAGTGGGGTCCACAAGTAATATAGAATAGAATGTTTGGAGATTTTAACTAATTCTTAAGCCTAAAATGTGCTTTTTGTTGTGTGTGTAAAAAATAAACAATGGCTTTGGTAGTGAAGTTTTTAAAGAGAGGACACTTACTTGTAGGATCTGGTTACCATTAATGACTGTGCCATTTTGGCTGCCTTGATCAACAAGAACATAATTCTGTAAATCGTGGTCGAAGTAGACTTCTGCATGAAACTGAAGGGAAGACAAATCGGTATTAGCAGTTAATACAGGGGAAAAAAAAGCACATTTACAAGATATTCATAAATATCCGTCTATAGGATCAGCATATTCTGGCAGGGCTTGATGTGACCGCAACTGAACAAATCCAAAATAAAATCGGAGACTCGTATGGAAAAACAAAATGGAAGGAAAGTGTCTGTGCTGCCCACAGCAACAAGATTCCAGCTGTCATCTTTCTAGAACAGGTAAGAGTGCATTGATGAGTGAATTCAAAATCTGAACCACCGTGAACATTACACTTTAGCCCATGAATGGTTTTATTCCACTTTAGATAGTAGAAGAGGTGGAGCTATTTACCTTACTGACGCCAACCTCTGGGATACGGATTGTATGCCCCATGTCCTTTTCCCTAAATGAGAAAATCAAACATTGTACTTTACCCTGATCACCAAAATACACATTATCTCTTCTATCCCCCAAGCTCCACCTACCTCCCAATGGTGGCACTTTTTACAGCTGTAATTATGAACAGGGATCCTTTCTGAAGCACCGGTGACCGAACCACGATTACCCGAATACATGGAGGCCAGATCTCCTCTGTGTCTGCACAAGAACAGGAGAGATTAGCTCTCTTTAGAAGCTTCACAGGTTAACAGAAAAATATAAAGAGTGAAATACTGGCTCTGCCATTGTTAAACTGAAAGAGCAACCTTTTCCATGTGAAAACAACAACAGGACCCTTGTGTAGGAAAAAGTTTGCCAACAAGAAAACGTCTTGCAGTCTATAGCAACCAATCAGGCTTCAAATATAGCAGATGTGGCAGAGCAGACTTGGAAAAATTGATTTTGATTGGTTGCTTTAAGTAAGATTTTTTTTTATTGTTAGCACACTTCTAATTTATAAACAAGTATGTATGGTGAACGGACAATACATGCGGCAACCTTAGGCTGGGTTCACACCTAGGCGTATCGAATATGCGCGTTCGTCGCGCATTTTTACCGCGATTCGTGGTTAAAAAAAACGCACGACAAACGCGCGTTTCAGAGGGCTACTTGGCTGTAACGCACGACAAAAACGCCTCAAAGAAGCTCCTGTACTTCTTTGGGCGTAGGACGTTTTGTAGCGCATTCATACGGCCTGTAATACGCCCAGGTGTGAACCATACCCATAGGAAATAATGGGATTTCGGTGTTTGAGCGTTTTGCAGAGCGTTCGAACGCGCTACAAAATGCCCAGGTGTGAACCGGGCCTTATGGTATCCTTTAGATCAGGGGTAGCCGGATGGATCATGATGGGATTTGTACTTTCACCACAGCTGGAGGGCTGAAGTGTAACCCTGCTTTAGACCACCAACTACACTGTGCAAGGGCCCCGCTTGCATGAACACAAATTTAATGGATTGTTTAGTTAGGATGCTCACTGTGTTCAAGTCAGACTGTGCCAAATGTATTTAGCTCTAACAGTTACCAATATGCAGAAAATGTAATGCAAGTAGCATTACTGTGTGGTTCTTTTTATCCTCTGCATACCTCTTCAAGCAGGTCTGCGTCAAAAAACAAAACAAATATATAGAGTATTTGTATGTATATATAGCCCCTGCATCTTTCTATTATTCTGGCTGTTGGATTTGCAAGCGGTGCTCATTTGCGCATTTACAATTTGAGGAGATCTCAGCAGGCATAAAAAATTCTTACTGCAATATACTGTTACATACTAACAGCATGACCATGCTAATATATAATGCATTTTTGGCAAAATCTAGGGTTCCCCTTTAAATTATCAAACCTAAAATACAAGGCAGGTCTGATATAATTGACATAATAGACTGAACATACATGGGTCAGTAGTAGACACGTGTACAGAAACCATTTACTTCTAGGGGAACAATAAAAGCTCCAAGTACCTGCATTAGTATTCAGACTGATCCTGGTACCCCAGTGGAAGCACCTTTTACCTAGGTCCGGGTTCTATATAGGGCATTGATTTCTACCCAAGCTGAGATAAACTCTTGCACTGATACCAGATACGGATACCAGTATCGGTGCCGATGACCAGTATTTGGGTGAGTACTCGCCCAAATGCTCAGATGCCTAGCCCGATACTTCCTGATTGGTCAGGAAGCTGGCCAATCAGAAAGCCGGGCACTGTGTAATGACGCGGCGCCCAGCTTGGAGCATGGAGCCAGCTTCCCGGCCAACCAGGAAGCTGGGCGCCGTGTCATTACATATTGGCCAGAAAGCTGGCTCCATGCTTATTTGTCACGTAGTGACGAGAAGCATGGGGACTGCTTCCCTGCTAATCGGGAAGCCAGGTGGAGAGTCTTTACACGCCGCCCGGCTTCCTGGCTAATCAGGCCGCCTGGCTTCCTTAAATGGGACTTCCGGTATTGGTATTGGCGAGTACCGGAAAAAAAAAATATCGGTACATCCCCAACATGAAAAAACATACAAACCAACTTTAAATTCATAAGGATAAACAGCACCATTTTATTTGTTCCAGCAATTGGCTCACATTTGTAAGCCACAATAAAACCCCATTGTGGACAGGCTCTCTGTGGCCTGAATTTGTTGATACCATACAATACAAAACTAGTTATCATTTGGCTAAGAAAACCGTCAACACTGCTATCATGATCACCTTCAGTGTCAGAGTTGTGAGTGGAGGAACTATCTGCACTGGATATTTCTTCATCGCTGGATGTCTTCTCAGAGTCTGTGAGCTCGCCCTCTTCTGGTTCACTGTCCTCTACAGAAGAGGAGCTGTCCCTGGTACTGGACTCTGCCACCTGACTGCTCAGCTTGAGCTTCTTGTTTCCACTAGAAGGCTCTTCCCTTTCATTTGGACATACTCTCTCATGGTCTGTACTACAGGAGAAGGATTCTCTCATCTCCTCTGAAGCCTTAAGAAAAATTGGGACAACACTCAGGAACAATGGAACCAGAACCAAGCATATCAAGTTAACCAATCATAAGAAAGTTGAGCTTTTCCAGCACTGGTCCAATCACTTCATATATGCCTCAGTGTGTGTGTGTTAGGAGCAAGAGGCAGTAAGGACTAGAGAGACAGCCTTGCTCTGTAAACACTCTCATGGAAGCACCTTTTAATAAATACTATATACATATAGTAAACACAAGATATAACACACATTTATAGACTCGAAGACTTCAAATATCTATATGGGGGGGGTGAGTGGCTATGATCTTGATGTGAGCAGATGTGTGTACTGAGTCACCCAGCAGCTATCCTGTCTACCCCATCCTGCAAATCGCATGCTGTTCTCTGTGTTAGTGTGGCTAGAAAGAAGACTTGGGAGATTCTGCCTATCTGGATGTATCTCCCTTTTGCTTTTTAAACATGACTAAGTGCAACAAAGGGGGCAGCAGGTCCAGAAAAAAAAAATATGGATCAGAGCTCCATTGTGACAGACCTGGCTGTGGCCGATGGGTAATTTGATATAAACAGACACGTGTCCGTTTACATCCAATTCCCCATTGACCAACATGGGTCCAGTAATTTCATTTTTTTCCTCCATCGCAAGATAAGGAAAAAAACTGGACAGACTCGGATGGCACAACTGTGACATCCGTTCCAATCAGCAGGGGAGTAGAAAAGTAATTTTTTCTTTCAACACTTCCTGCACCTAATCAGATTGAATTTTTTTGCTTGGGAATTTTTCCACCTTAAAAGTATTTTGTCCAGACCAGGACAATGAAGTATTAACATAATTTCAACAAGCTTTAAAACAAACCCTCACTCACCTCTCTAGCTGTTTGTACTGTAAAGTAATTTATTCTCAAGGATCACAACAAAGACTCTGACGTTTTATATAACCAGGGCTTGAAAATTCCACTCGTGGACACCAGAGCCCGACGAGTAACTTCCCGGCCGGCCGTTGTAATTAAACAGCCGTCAGCGATCGGGCGTGCAGGTGAGAAGCTGCTGAAGCAGATCTGTGCTTCATCAGCTTCTCTGGGGGTCCCTAGGTGACATTAGGGGTCTTGGAGACCTCTGATGTCTCCATAAAGAGGACCTGTCATGTAAATTGGCTATCACATAAGGGGATTTTTAGGTCACTATTTGATAGCAACAAAGTGTAAAAAAAAAAAAAAAAAAAGAATAAAAAAATTAAAGAAGCATAACAAAACAACGACGGAGCCGCTGTAACAGCAGCATGTGCTGTGAGGAGAGAGAGAGCCGCCGGCTGTCAGATACAGGCCAAGTGGCTCTCTCTCCTCACCACTCGGCGTGCTGCTGTGATAACGGCTCCATCCTTCGCCCCCCGCCGCCGACTGCAGCTTCACTTTTCCTCGGATCCCCGCTGCATACAGATGGGGGAGAGCAGCGGGGATCCAGAGAAGACAGGACATCGTGATCTACCAGTGATCGCTAGGCGATCGACTGGTAGATCGCGATCGACCTAATGGGCAGCCCTGGTGTCAATGGACCCTAAAGAGTTCTTCACTGTAATGCCTTGGCATAGTAACTATTCAATTCAACATCAACACTGGACACTGTTCTTACTAAAAATAATACCTTACCTTTTTATTAATATAATTTAGAGGACAGAAAAAGCCATAAAAATCAAAAGAATAAAGACAACAACTCTACCTTTATTAGATGGTGTTTTTCCATAAGCAGAAATCCTTAAGCTAGCCATGTTTTCTGTCATGTTTTGCACCTAAATACAGGATAATAGTCAGCATAGCTCAAGGTGATTAGGACTACACGTTTGCAGCTTTTTAAACCAGGGCCTGGAGAATTATATGTAGCTATGTAGGTCATATTTCAATGAAAAATCGCTTTGGTCTGGTTTTTACCATATTAGAAGCTGCATTTTAAAAACAATTTTTTTGTTGTATTGTAAATATGTATTCCCTCCAGTGTCAATATGTACATTAGAAAATACACATTAGCATATTCGATACAATAGTGCTTTTGCTGGGTGACAGTATGACAAAATCAATTACAGGACAAGGCACATGTACAATGTGTTTGAGACTGCATATAGAGTAAAGCAGCAGCACAGAACTGCACAATGCTGAATGCCACCGAGTTTGCAATGCCAAGTGCTTACATATAGGGGGAAATCATTTCTGTACTCATTTCTATTTAGTGCTGGGAGAGCTCAACTTTCCATGTGAAAAACAGACTTCATTATCATATATATATCACATATTATCACAGTTTAACAATGAGAACAATACAGACATATAGTAACAAAAACCTTTATAATGCTGGTCGTATATACTGCTTCTTAAAACATGATAAATGTGTTACCTTTGCCACTCTCCAAACAATTATCTACCGTGAGATAGACCAGTGTTGTTCATATGTTCAATTTTGAGAGCCTTAAACCCTTAAAGCCTTAACCCTAATTAGGGATGTACCGATATTGGTGCCGATGCCGAGTATTTGGGAGAGTACTCGTACTTGCCCAAATGCTCCGATGCCTAGCCCGATACCTGAGCTGCCGGTATCAGGAAGCTGGACAGCGAGTCATTACACGCGCCCAGCTTCCCGATTGGCCAGAAAGCCGGCTCAATGCTCTCTCGTCATCTAGTGACGAGAAGCATGGAGACGGCTTCCCAGCTAATCAGGAAGCCAGGTTGCGAGTCATTACACGCCGCATGGCTTACTTAATGGGGCTTCCAGTATCTGTATTGGCGAGTGCCGAAAAAAAATATTGGTACTCGATACCGAAAAAACGGTATCGGTGCATCCTTACTATTAATAGATCAAATACTACAATGATTTCTAGTATTATTCATACAAAAATTAAAAAAAACGAGAAGGCCAGCAACGCTTGAGGGAACATTTCAGTAAGAGGGGTGTGTGTGTATCAAGTACTAGTGGCTGGTGAAGATCAACATACAGTGAACCTCTAGCAAAGTTTCAAGTGTTACAACTTCTGTACAATTGTTATTGCTGTGTCTGTTTTATTGTTGAGGTAATCTCACTATGCACGGGGAAAATCCCACTGGCGTTTCATTTCAATACAAATATGTTAAATGTGAATCAAAAATCAATGACTAGGCGTCGGGTACACTGAAGACACCCTTTTTCATAATAAACTCTGGATGATGCAGTTTATTATTTAAAAGGGCAGCATCTACTGTGAATTTGGTATTAAGTGAGCTGAACACTAAGGGGCTGATTTATAATAAGCAAAAGGTGTTCACATGGCATTACGGTCACTAGATGAGGCCGAATAGTATAGTAAATTATTAGCAGAACATGTCTGTCTTTTTTTTATTTTTTAACACTTGCACAGTGAACTGCTCTTGCAATTTGGATGATCATTGTATACAAAAGATTTGCATGGTTATGGGATCTTAAAAAAAGCCTATAAACCTTTGGAGGTGTGAAACCATTTTACGGGCCGGGTCCTCCTTACCATCTTGTCTTGAATTGTATTTTGATTGTAATGTCTTCCTTATATTGTAAAGCGCTGCGCAAACTGTTGGCGCTATATACATCCTGTATAATAATAATAGTATTACTTTACTGCTTGGTGAGTCACTGACCTAAAACAAACAGGATTATGAGGTGTGATCCATGCTGTACACACGGTTTGTTCCAGGTTAGGGGCCACTGCATAGTAAAGGAAGATGGCAGATCACAGTCACAGTGACAGCTTCTAATATTCAGCTCTGATGCACAATATTTGATGCTACGAATATTACTTATAACAATTCCCTAAAGATTCTCACAAGCGATGCTTGAATCTTTGTCATTGTGGTGTGTTTATAGCCAGCATATAGCAAACTGTGATCAAACAGATCCTCACTCAGCTGAATGGTCACAGACACACACTGCCATGTAATTATATCGAAGTGATTGTAGCTACTTACCCAGTCCTCTTCCTGTGCACTGACCGACTCTCGTTTTTTCTTCTTCACTCTCTTTTCTTTGCTTGGCTTGGCTTGGGTGTCCGTATAGGATTGTAGATCCACTCTTGAATGAAACTGGTATCGCCCACTCTCCACATCACAGTAGTAATATATTCCAGTTGAGGGATCATAATATAGCTGAGATTCCTAATTGGCAAATTTAAATATAAATAAATATATATTGGTTTCAGCCTCCTATCATACATTAACATTGTGGCATTATATCCGTTGTCCAGCAAAGGGTAGGCTATGTAAACACTGCTGACTGCAAATGAAATGTGAAGGAGGGACATACTGAGTCATAGTAGAATCCAGTACTGTGGTCATAGTACATGCCAGTGCTTTCATCATAGGTAAATCCGGTTTGGGACAAAGCAGCTTCTGCAGTTGCTCTTAGGCTTTCAGCAAGTGATGTTCCTTCCTCGCCCTGAAAAGTAAAAAGGAAATAAGCCAAGTTTTTTTTATTTCACTAAATTAGAAAGGATCGAGTGTAGAAGGATTAAAACCCCATTATCAGTTTATTTATTGCTACCTGTGTTTCAGTAGGGAGATATCACTTCACTTCCTGTGCTAGAGACACAACAGGAAATACAAAGTAATCTCCCCAAAGGGAGGGAAATTTCCATCTTAGGCAGTTTGTCATTGTGCCTGTGTTGGGTGAGATTTTACTAGTGACCACACAGGAACTAATGAGAAATGTACCAATCCTAACACTTATCCACGTTGGATGAATTGCCCTGACCGTATTCTAAAATACAATTTCACATTACTTTTGGTCTTAAATACAAAGCTTACCAGGACAAAGAGAGGGGAGGGGGTACACAAATAGCAATAAAAACTTGACACAAGGTCTAATCTAACCCTTTCCCAATTTACCCAAAACTAAAAAAAAAGAAAAAAAAGGGTTGCCTTCACATACACTTTACCAGTACCTGGGGGAGCAAGCTACTCTTAACCTTCCTGGCAGTAATCCCGAGTGTGGCTCGGGGTTAATTTTCAGTACCAAAAGCGGTAACCCCGAGCCACACTCGGGATTACCATGTAGCATCACTTATCTTGTCCCTACGAGCCCTGCTGTGTCCTCCGGCCGATGCCAGCATCCGTATTCCGTGTTCCTTCCCTGCAAGCGCCGGCGTCGCAGAGGGGCGGAACCGGTGGGAAATTTAAAAGTGAAAAATAGAGGAAAAAATACTGACATAATCAGACCGCCAGGGAGGTTAATCAAGCAGTGAATGGAACTAACCAATCACAGGTGGTGAATCAGTTTTGTTTAAAACACATGAACCTGGAAGATTCACTTGCAGTGAATGCTTGGAGAATGTCAAATTCACTGCTTTGAAAATATGCCCTTAAATGTGCAATCAAAAGTCCTCAATGCTGCCTCACATCTAACATAATACTTTTTCCCATTTTTTTTGTAAAATTAGGTACCTCGGCTTATATTCGGGACGGCTTATACTCGAGTATATACGGTAACAGACCCGGGTCTGAATTTCATCCATAGGCTCACAAGTGTCTGGGATCATCAAAAAAAATAAATCTGGCCCTTACACTTGGCATCACTGGCCCCCATAAAATCTCTTAACCCAACCACTATAGTTAACTCTTAATCTTCCCCTTATAAATACTTGCCGTCAGCACTAAAATCACTCAGTGCAGAATGCTAGTATTTATGGGTATTGGCAACCAATCAGCTTCTCTCTTTCATTTTCAAATCTTAACTGCGCAAACTGAAGAGAGAAGCCGATTGGTTGCCCCGGTTCAAACTGCTCCAAATCTTGTCCACTCCAGTTTTGATAAATTCCTCTCTAGGTGCATAAGGAAAACATTTCTCTGTGCCCAGTGTGAATGTTTGTTTGCATCCTCCCATGACAGCAAACAAAATGGAACTATTCAAGAAAAACATAGGGATTCAATCATTTTCTTAATAGTTCTATGATAAATGTAAGAACTGAATTTTATATTACTGGTGAGGTTCAATAAAACCTATCCTACCGCAACATGTTGGGCATAGTCTGTTTCTTGTTCTCCTCCTGCACATGGACTGCTGTCTGCTTTGGGGGGTTCTTGTGCATCTGTTGTGGCTTCTGGGGTCACATCAACCGGCTGACTTTCCTGATTTGCATCCACATTGGCGGAAGTGCTTGTGTTGTGATTTTCATAGTAGGAATAATAGTAGCTGTAGTAATCTGAAAGAACAGCAATTCTCAATTCATAAAAAGAAAACAGATACACATGTTTGGAGTACATTAGTTATCTACATAACACAGAATATGAAAAAAAAAAATCACTGTAGTTCACTGAGGAAACAGACTTTCTGTCTGTACCATGGTATACAATACAGGAGTCGTCATCAACTCCTAATTCAGTGCTTTGTGTCGATAGGACTTTTACACCCTATAAGGAATGGATGTGACATGTAAAAAAGAAAAAGCTTTAGAGAGGTTGAGTGAATCTAGTTCTTTTTTTCTATAATGGATTTTATAGACACCCACACCCCTAAGCCCTCGTTTACACCTGAACATTTTGTAGCGCGTTCTACTCTCGACGAACACTCTACAAAACGCTCAAAAATATAAATCCCATTGTATTCAATGGTCTGGTTCCCACCTTGGCGTATTTCCGCCCGTTCCTAACGCGCTACAAAACGGCCCACGCCTGAAAAGGTACAGGTACTACTTTGGGCCGTTTTTGTTGCGCGTTTCCATTGGGATACAGCCAAGTAGCCCTCGGAAAAGCGCGTGTGTCCCGAATCGCGGTAAAAAAACCGCGCGACAGACGCGCATATGCAATACGCCTAGGTGTGAACCAGGCCTAAGAGTTTCTACTGCTTGCTCTTCTTATTATTCATTTACATGATATTATTGTTAACAATATTGCATTCACACTCGTAAACATGGAAACACTAAAAACAAAGCTTAATTTTGATATTTTGGATGTACACATTCTTATTAAAGTGACACTAAGCTCAGGAGTTAAACCTTAAAAATGCAATAACAAAAATGTATCTTATGGTGTTTTCGGGGGAATGTCCACAAAACAAAGATTTTGAGGCTGTTATACTAAAAGAGTTAAAAAAAAAAAAAAGACCGAAGATTTACTGTTACTCATGCATATGAAATAAATAAAACAAGTGTAATGAAACAAGAGTTTGCTTTTAACATGATTGGATATTTGAAGTAACTCTTCACTCTTTTTTTGTGTGGACGTTTTCAACTTATCTAGTAAATAAACCTTGAAAATATGTTGCAGTTTATTGCAGACTATTGTTTCCCATGGTCCCTGTGTGTGTTGTAAAGTAGCCACCGCTCCAAGCTCACTCCTGTGATGGACTACAATCTCATGTTTATTATTATATTTATTACAGGTATTCATATAGCGCCGACATTTTAATGCAGTGCTTACGTTTAGTTTATTAATTTGTATTAAGATTGTGTCTATCACTGGAGTGAGCTTTGAGCAGTGGCTACTTTATAACACACACGGGGACCATGGGGAACCAAAGTAGCCACCCTCCAGAAGGAAGGACAGTGTCAGCACCAATTCAGAGATGACTTGAGGATCTACAGCCGAGTGACACACAAATAAGATACATTTTTGTTTAAGGTTTAGTGTCACTTTAAGATACAAGTCTCTGCTTACCTGACCAAGCAGAGGAATCATCTGTTTGCACTTCCTTGTCAGCCTTTTCTGATTGATTACGCTCATGGATTTCTTTACATAATTCTTCTACCTGCCAAACACAAATAGGAGCAAAACAAACATACTTTAATCCATGGACATTATGCAAGCTAGGGCATTAACATGCTGTCTGGCCGTTGTAATTAAACGGCCGGACAGCGGCTTCTTGAGAGCGGGTGGGCGGCGCGCACGAGCGGGAAATCGGCTTTGAATGTAAACAGCCAGCGATGGCCGTTTACATACAAGCGTTCGGGCGTCAGTAGAGACGCCCGATCGGTTGTAATATGCGTGCGGGTGTGCGCCCCCTCCGTTGCAGC